AGTCCGTGCTCACTGGCTCAGTTCACGTCTCGCCGGGCACGATAGTTCTTGCTCTTGCCGTTCCGTGTTCGCCGTTCAGATTCTTGTCAAAACAACTGTCTACTCCTAATCGTCGTTCAGATCCGCTCATATATATATATATATATGAGACCTCATATATATATATATATATATATATATAATTATATATAATTTGTAATTTTATAAATGTGATTAAAAAATTAGGGGCAAACATGTCTTTTCACACGTTTTTAACGGAGGCAGTAATGGAAAAACAAAATTGGACCTAATTGATAGTTATTTTCGAAAGATATTTTAGACTGATATTTGGCCAAATTACTGGGGGTGTTAGTGAAATTATCCCTAAAATATAAATTAGAGCGTTCTCCCTCTTTGGTCCGCCTACGTCGAAAAATCACACTTCGTGCTATAACCTGTTTTTTTTCTTCCTTATTTGGAGTTGTATATGTAATTCAACAACTTTTTCATGTTCTAAATATATATAATAATCATTTTTTAATATATAAATAAAATTAAGAAAGTCATTGTTAAGTGTCGTCATACATCATCATTAATTTTGATTAAATAATTTTACATATTAATAAAATTTTGGAAGTAATTCAAACATTTCCAATTTAAATTTGGAGTGGCAATTCGTGTTCGTGGATCATAATCGTGTAGAGTTGATTTAAGGATATTCTACTAAACAGCTTATTCCGAACACGACTAGTTTGATAATTGTGTCAAGAACCCTCAACACTAACCCGACCTGTTTATTAAACGGGTTACACGTGTAACCCGTTTAATGACATGTTAAATAAAAATAAAATATTTTAGTATTTAACTTATTAATAATACTCGATTAAACATTAAATACTAAAAAAATATAAGTTTCATTTCAACCAAATTACTAAATAATTTACGATGTACAAAAGAATAAATTATAAAGTATAAGTTTAGATAGTTATTTTAGAATTTAAACAAAAATTTGTTTATGACAGTATAGTTAAACGGGTTACACGGGTTAATATCTTAAATTCAAATATGAAATGATTAAATAAACGGGTTAATCGTGTTGACCCGTTTAAGGTCAACCTAAACCCGTTTAACTCGTGTCGTATTCGAATCGTGTTATTGGATCGTGTCAAACTTTGTCACCTCTAACGTAAACATGTAATTGTCATAATATTATTTTCATTCAAATGCAAATAATTTACAAATAAAAAAAAATTCTAACCTAATTAAACTAACTAACCTAATTACGTCATGATAAATTAATATTCCCAAGATTCAAGAAGTTATATATTGCATCAACTTAAAAAAAATTTGTCGTCTTAATTGGTGCTGCTTAACTACCAAAAAAAAAACATATTATATTGACAAGGTGACATATAGAACTTTAATATTAAAATATTTAAAAGTTGAGTGTTTAAACATGATGCTCTTAGTCTAGAAGCCAGTTGGCTTACGAGATTGTTTGTAACAAAAAAAAAAAATTTAAATAAATAAATAAATAAATTTGTGATTTTTTAAAAATAAAAGCCCAGTTCATATCTTGTTATAAAATAAAACGTGAGAAGCTTTTCACCTCGCTTAAATGGCATAATAAATAACAGTACTGACAACATCTAAGTACTACAAGGGCTTATATGAACAACATTTAGATATTTTGTGGGGTTTTAGAAAACTACAAACTATACCAAGTATAGAGTTAAATTGAATAAAGAGTAGGGGCTCAAAAACAAAAGAATGGCAATAAAAGCAAGCTAGAGATGTCAACGTCGCAGATGCACGTGGGGCCCGTAGCCGCCAACATGGTTTGGCAGGTCATGTAGTTATTAGACCCACAGGGAGGGTGGGGGGGGGGGGGGGGGGGGAGAGAGAGAGAGAGTGTAATTAAGTTTCTTAAAACACACTTAATTTTAATTCGATCTTTAATCATTGTATCAACTTAAAAAGGGTTTTATCCTTATTGTTCGCATGCTAAATCAAGCCAGCACTAACTCTCCCAGTTCTAATAATGGAGATCCCATTGAAGTTTTGAAGACTTGACACAAAGTTACCCCTCACCAACCTTTATATTACCATGGCCGTTACTTTTTATTTTTTTTTGTTTATTTTATTTATTTATCCTTTTTGTGTCTACGGTAGCCCCCCGCGCGCGTCTGGCTGCCTATTATATTATATATAGTGATTTTTGTAATTTTTTTTACATATATATATTTATATATAATATTTTAGTTTTTCAATATTTTTCTTATTTTTCTCTTTCTTTTTAAATTTCATTAATTTCCTTAAAAAGGTAAAACTTCATTCCTTCCATCACCAACTAATTCTATATATATATTTTCAAAGTTATGTCATTTTTCTTTTTTTACTATCTAAAATTATCATTATTTTTATTTTATTTTATTTTTGCACGATACCCCCGAATTGGAATTGTTGCTCCGCCCCGACCATGGCCATTACTTTTTTTAAAGAATTTTGTAACTCTCCAATTAGATTAAAAAAAAAAAAATCTCAATGTATGTTTGTTGTAATACTCATCTAATTACATAAAAAAATTTTAGCCACATTGTAAATGTGAGAAGTTTATTATCAATAAATGTCCAATATTATGAATGTTTATTGAAGATTATTCGAACTCTTAAACCAAAATTTTAAATATATTTTATATTTTGTTGAGAATTGATCATTTGAAATTAAGATATCATATCTAATCTCTATCTACAACACAAGAAATATATGCCTATTAATACACAAAATAGTCATTTAACATTGACATCTCTGCCTTTGAATTTACTATTATTATAAAGGAAAAAGTTTACCTTAAGTCCCATAAGTAAGGCTCTCCTTTTGATGTTGATATGGACCAATAACAATATGACATGTGTTAAAAAAAAATTAAAATATTAAACCTGAATCATTAGGATCTTTTCACGGGGTCATCTAAAAAGAAAGAGGATTTATCTCACACATGTGTGAGACTTGGTAGCGGGCTCTTCCTCTCATTAACTCACGATTCATTATCTCTTCTCACCAAATCCCTATTGATGCCCACCATATCCCCAATCTTGAAACCCTAATATTAATCCTCTCTTCCGCCATCCACCACCTCCACTATTTACCACCTCCTTCATTCCCAAATCCTAATCTTTTACATTCAATCTTTAGAGATGATTCAAGTCGTTAAATTCGTTGCCTGCCATCTCTGTTGCAATCCTATCTCTAGATGACTCAAGAAGTTGAGCAATTAATAAATACGCATAATTCTAGTGGCATCCAAAATTTTGAAATTTATCATCACTTGTTGCAATTTGAAACCAAATTGATTTCCTTAAACTCCATTGATAATTGGAGTCTTATAATTGTGGTTAATTTACCATGTTTGGGCTAATTGTTTAACTTCTTCTATAACCGATTGCAATATGAAGGGTTTGCAATAGATAATTTCAAACGCACGAGGAAAATATATATATACATATTTTCTTTTGGATGATTTGGAAAAAAATTCAAACATTTTTTATTAATTATTTTAAAATTTTTTTAACACACATTATATTTTTATTAGTCCACGTTAATATCAGAAAAACATTCTTACTTATTTTGCCGGAGGCAAGTATTTTCTATTGTATACTGAAAAAAATTTACGTTAAGTACATGGAATGGAAAACCACCTCTCTATGGCATTTAATTAAAATGTTTTATTTTGATCTATTACGGCTAACTATTATGTCTTTATTTTCATTGAAAAGATGGTGATGACACTTGTTTTAAAATGATTTATGATAAAAATTATTATTATGTCAAAATTTAATTGGATTAATGACACTTATTATTATGTCATTTATTTAATTGGATTAATTAATTAATGCATGAAATTGTAAAATTAGATATCAATCAATGTTGACCTAGTCTAATTTTAAATTTTTTTTTTTTTTTTTACATCATCAGCATACCTGTCGCACTTTAAAGTAACAAAGTATTTTTTAAGATGTAAAGATTGAATTTTTAGATAAAAATACCTTAATCCAAATATTTTTACATGTATATTTAACTGTATTTATTCTAACGTTCTTTATAATTGATTTGACATAACAATATCCAAATTCACACACGCACGCACACATATATATATTTGTAAAGTGCTTGTGATTTCAATAACATGACTCCAATCAATATGATAAATTCTATACATAGTATATATAATACTGAATTGTTTTAACATGCTTGGAGACCTCCAAATCGACTGCTAATTAACAAATTTAGCCGACTGGATAAAAAAGGAGTCGTCATAACTAAAGTATAGAACATGAACTCAATATTGAGGTCCCAAAAAAGTCTCTGTCACTTCATTTATTGAATCTAAAAATCAAAAGAAATAGAGCGTCTCAAACTTATTTTTGTACTGCTAATATTATTTTCCAAATATATCATTTCATGGAGTAATTAAATATTTCCCTAAACTATAAAATAAACATTTTTGCCCAACAGCAAAATTAGAAATACATGAATCCTTTTCATTTCATTAATGGTTTTTAAGATTTTCATAAAGCTCATTAACACTTACATTTAAATAATATGTGAAGTTTACAGGTAGTTGTATATATTTGGAGTTTACAAATTATCCAAAAGTTTATAGTAATCAGGTTAGTTATAAAAATAATAATGATAAAAAAAATAGAAAAGGTAAGGAAGAAAAATATATATACACGGTCTCAATACGGTCATATCAGATCATAATAGGAAAAAAACAGAAGAAAAGATTATAATGTAATGGTTAAAAAAAAGCAAGCCCTTAGAGAGAGATTATTTGTCTATTTTTGTTGCTTGTGGTTTGGTTAATTGAAAAGAGTGGGTAGGTAAAAATAAATAAATAAAAGAGGGAAAGGGGTAATTTGGGAACTGAAAAATCGTCATGGTTTGAGAAAGATAACCCTGTTAAAATTAAGGATTAACTCATGGTCTTTAGTTAATAGATTCAGCATTACCCGGTCCCATCCCATCTCGAGTAGAGAGAGAGAGACTCGGGGGACACAGAATTGAGTAGAGAGATAGAAAAGTAGAGAGAGAGAGAGAGCGAAAAATTTTAGGAGAGAGAAGTAAAATGTGGTGAGGGGGGAAGAACTAGGAGGAAGAGAGAGAGAGATGTCTGATAGTTGTAGTGGAAAATAGGGGGCAAAGCTGCAGCATTTGGTCTCTGCAAAGTCGGCAAACTCTCCTTTTTCAAAGCTCCTCCGGTCTTTCTCTTGTCGGCTACTTTTCCGGCAACCCGTTACCACAACTTTTTCCGGCGCGTCTTCGCCGGAAAACAACAGCTCGCCGGGAGATTCAGACCTGTATCTTTTTTCTGCCCTTTTCTTGGAAAATATCTCAGAAAAATCCATTTTTTAGCTAAGGAATCCACAGTTTTATTCTTTGTTCTCTACATCTTCAAATCCGTGTACTTATCATAGCGAAGAAGAGCTACTCGAAGCTCCTATCTTGGTGGTTCAATTGGTGAGATTGTGTTTTCTATTTTTTGTTTTCGCCGGAGAAAGCATCGGAAAGTCACTGGGTGATGAACTACCCGTGAGAGTCCCCAATAATTTTCTGCTTCGGCGGTGAATCGCGAGGGACGGTCGCCGGAATCGGCTGAATGAAGACGCCGGCGAACTGTGCAGGCGCTGCAATGGCGACGGCAACAACCAATCCCAGCGAAGGTGAGATTCAACCCCCTTCTCTCTCTCTTTCTCTCTTTGTACGTTAGATTTAGAGACATTGGAAGATTCATTGTATCGATCGCGTAATAAGCTGTATATTTGTCTTTTCCTCTTTGTTCTATTTGTTCCGGCTTTGTCGGACCTTCTTGTCCTCTAATTATAATCCTAGCTGAAATTTTCCCAAGTAAAATACGTTTTCGGAGTAAATATGGAAACTATGTAATCTCGTGACTCGTTCAGTTCAAGCGACAGTTACTGTAGCATTTCCAAGTTTTTCATATTTTATTTCATTTTCCTTTTACTTTTTTCTCGCCAACCAAACAAGGATTTACTGATCCTTGTGTAATCAGGAGAGAAGAAGAGCATAAACCCGGAGCTATGGCAAGCGTGCGCCGGACCTCTGGTCAACCTACCGGCTGCTGGGACCCACGTCGTCTACTTCCCACAAGGCCACAGCGAACAGGTCTGATTATATATGTGTGTATGCATTCTTGCTATCTTGAGCCGTTAGGGTGAATCCGCTTAACATTCACCACATACCTGCCGTTTATCTTGTCTGATTACTTACTACAAATGTTTAGGGTTACTTCTATTGTGCGCTGTTGTTAAAGTTTGCTTAAAGTAGTTGGCTGAATGATGGAATGAACAGAAAGTAAGGAAAAAAATAGTCTGGAATTTGCTAATGCGTGGCGGTTGTGTGTTTTGACCATATGGGGTATTTTTGTATTGTCAAATTACCTTTTAGTCCTAGTTGGAGTTGTGTTGATTATGCAGTGATGTAGTATTTTCAATGGAGAACAGCAAATTATCAGATTTACAATTACAATTTTGAAGGACCAGTTCATCGCGATATCCTTCCATGTCCAATATGTGCCTTTTTCTGAACACGGGTGCCACTTAATAAAAATTTAGTCTGCCGGTCAATCGGTTTCAAAAGTCAACGGCCTTTTTGTTGTTGTTAGTAGTATCAATATATATGCTCAATCAATTAATAATGACACAGTTTCGTAGTTAATACGAATTAATTACCCATCAAATCTGCATTTAGGGGATAGAAGTAAACATAGATAAATAGCAGTGTAGTCACTTGGCTTTCCATGGGGAATATAGATTAAGGACCGATGTAGATTTGTGTTGACATATATATACTTGCAATTGTTTTTGTTTTATCGAAATATATAGGGTATGAGTTAAGCTGCTGATTAAGGCACGTGGAATTTATTTACTATTATCCTCTACAGTCTTATACGTGACAAGAACTAATCCAATTCATTATTTGTTTGAACAAAGTCAAAATTTAAAGCCTCGGGTGTTTCATGCCAATTAAAAATTTTGTTGCAGTTCAATCATGGAACAAGCTCAGTGTCATATTTGGCTATACTTGTTGAAATCAATGGAAATTTTCTTTTTGCCTCTTCTGATTTCCCCTTTGAATAAATGCCTATCCTCATTGCATGCGAAAATTTCCCATTTTTTAGGTTGCAGCATCTATGAAGAAGGATGTGGATGCTCAAATCCCGAGCTATCCAAATCTTCCATCAAAGATACTTTGCCTCCTTCACAATGTTACACTGCATGTATGAATCAGTTTATCTGGTTTTATTTTCTTTAATGCTAACTAGTAATTTTAATTGTTCTAATTTTCTTTATGTATGACTTCCTAGGCGGATACAGAGACAGATGAAGTATATGCGCAGATGACGCTACAACCAGTTCCTTCTGTAAGGACCTACTGTAATATAACTTACCATTTTGTATTCTGAATGTGTGTGCATATATATTGTAAAACAAAATAACCAGAAAACAAGAAAATATAGATCTCAAAAAAGACTTAGCAAAGTGCTCCCCTTAATATCTAGAAATTTTGGAAATGTAAGTCAATTATACCTGCATGGGAGGAGTTGCCAACTTTAAACAGATTTTTTTTTTTACTCATATGCAGTTTGACAAGGATGCATTGTTGAGATCAGATCTTTCCACGAAGGCAAATAAACCTCAAACAGAATTCTTTTGTAAAACTTTGACAGCAAGCGATACAAGCACTCATGGAGGTTTCTCTGTACCCCGTCGTGCTGCAGAAAAGATTTTCCCTCCCCTTGTAAGCAAATTTTCTCGTGGCAGTATTTGACTATTTGTTACTTTAATCTTAAAATTATTTGTCTGAGGAAGTCAACATTCTTACTTCTTTCTAGGATTTCTCTATGCAACCACCTGCTCAAGAGCTTGTAGCCAGGGATTTGCATGATAATGTATGGACTTTTCGTCATATCTATCGTGGTAGGTTAATCATGTTGCCATTCAAGCTCATTATTTAAAACTCATTGGAACATTCCCTGTTATTATTAAACCTCTTTGCTATTTTGTTTACGAATATTTAAAATGTCTTGCCCTTCATAATGCAGGGCAACCAAAACGTCATTTACTTACAACGGGATGGAGCCTATTTGTTAGTGGAAAGAGGCTTTTTGCAGGTGACTCGGTCCTATTTATAAGGTAATGCAATTGAGTTTTAGAAGCTTTCTAGTTTGAACTGCTAAGTTTCAGATTTAGGTTAATAGCAATTTTCTGATCATGATAAAAGCGTTATGGCTTTATGCAAGCATATGCTTTTTCCAGTTGGATTTTTTTGCATGAACCTTATTGTTTATGTTGGTCGTGAGCAGGGATGAAAAGCAGCAGCTTCTCTTGGGTATTAGACGGGCTAACAGGCAGCCTACCAATTTATCATCATCAGTATTGTCAAGTGATAGTATGCATATCGGGATCCTAGCAGCAGCAGCCCATGCAGCTGCTAATAATAGCCCATTTACCATCTTTTATAATCCAAGGTTTGATTTCCCATTTGTTTGTTGTTATTTTCTTTTGAATTGCTCAAGTCGTAGAAGATGCAAGGTTCCTAATGAGTAGTGGGACATTGCAGTCAATCATGCTAGTCATTATTTGTCGGAATTACATTGCTTCTTTTGAGAAAATTCTGAGATGATTTTGTATATGCAGGGCTAGTCCATCTGAATTTGTCATTCCTTTTGCCAAGTACTACAAAGCAGCGTGCAGCAACCAAATATCCCTTGGCATGCGCTTTCGGATGATGTTTGAAACTGAAGAATCTGGAACAAGAAGGTAATTATTTTTTTCCTAATTAACGAGAAGGTAAATTATGTTTGAGTCCTTTGGAAATGTCAACAATCAACCTGGTTTGGCATATGATATTAAGAATCAGAATACCTAATATGGTTTGGTCCCAACAACTTAAAGAGTGAGTTCCAATTTGATTAAAAGAAAGAAGCAACTGTTCTGCAGGTATATGGGTACAATCACAGGTATCAGTGATCTGGATCCCGTAAGATGGAAAAACTCTCAATGGCGAAACTTGCAGGTAGATATTGTGGCATCTTTGTGTTAATTTTATTTATTTATATATTTATTTTTTTTAAAAAAATTATCTTTACATTGGCGTGGAGAGGACTAGTAGGTTTTACCTGTTTAGTAATATTGTCCATTTCTGTAAATCTTTGTTCTTGAGTAGGTTGGTTGGGACGAGTCAACTGCTGGAGAAAGGCGCAACCGAGTCTCAATTTGGGAGATTGAACCTGTAACAGCTCCCTTTTTCATCTGCCCGACTCCCTCGTTTTTCAGATCAAAGCGTCCCAGGCAACCAGGAATGCCAGGTAGAACAATAGAAGATATAATACTGCAGGGCATTCATTTTATTTACCTTTTGCTATAATATTTTTATCTTTTTGTTTCAATCAAATTATTGAAATAATATTGTTGGTTGGATCTCACCTAAGCATGTTGTGTTAGGGACTTAGGGTACCCCTCTTAACTAGGCCCCCTTCGGATGTTTGATTATAGTGGGTTGACTCTTTCCAATAGTGGGTTGACCCTTTCAAATAAGTGGATCCACCAAGAAGTTATCCTAGATAAAAGTGGATGCCATCAGCTGATCCAATTATAATAGGAAAAATTACATAGTAGTCCTGCTTTTTAGTTACAAAGACCAATAAGTCCTATAAAAATTTATTAGAACAACAAAGTCATAATTTTGATAAATATTTTCAACTAAGTTCAAAACTCTATCAAGTAATGAATTTTCTCCAACACTACCTTTCTTTTATTATTAAAATTCTAATTAAGCCCTTTATATCTAAATTTTTAACTGATATCAATTTACAATATATCAATGAAAAAGCACATAGCCACCTAATTAGGAATTCCCTAAGATATTTTACAAATTAATTAACTTTCACTCTTTGGGGTTTATTTAACATGCATAAAAAAGTTCCATGATTTTTTTTATGTAGTATATTCATCAATAATCAATGATTAATTGTTTTCAAATTTTTCCTACTTCACATTTTTTCAGTACAATTATTTCAAAAGGCAATAGTAAATTTATAAAAAAATTAGACTATGTTTTATAAAAAATAGATCAAGATAATTTTGTTTTTGTTGCTATTTTAAAGAGAAAGGGTAGTATTGGAAAAAGTTATTTTTAGTAGACTTGTGAACTTAATTAGAAATATTCTTTTAACTACGATTTCATTATCCTAATAAAATTTTATAGAGCTTAATGGTCCAACTCAATTAAAAACAAGGGCTAACATGTAATTTTCCCGAAAGCTTTGGCCTTTTGTTGTGGTCCTTGAATGGTGCATGGTGTCAAATGTCACAAGGTCATGATTAAAAGGTTGAAGATGCTTATGTAGGAAAAAGTCACTTTTCAGCTCAGCAGTTATCTGGATATTGAAGGCTGAACTATTGTAGGAGGATATCTAACAATCTACCATTATGTTAATCTTTGCAGATGATGAATCTTCTGATTTTGAGAGCCTATTTAAGAGGACAATGCCTTGGCTTGGTGATGATATCGGCATGAAAGATCCCCAAGCTCTCCCTGGCCTAAGCTTATTCCAGTGGATGAACATGCAGCAAAACCCTTCCCTGGGTAACTCGATGCAGCCAAATTATCTGCATTCCTCATCTGGGCCTGTTCAGCAAAACCGTGCTGGGGCAGATCTGGCGCATCAATTAGGATTGCCTACACCGGAAATCCCTCAGCAAAACAACTTACAGTTCAATGCCCAGAGGTCTATCCAGCAAGCTCAGCTTGACCAGCTCCAAAAGCTGCCGGCTGCCTCATTGAACCCATTAAGTTCGATTTTGCAGCCGCAAAAACAGTTGGCTGATGTAACACAGCAGCCAAAACAAAATATGATTAATCAAACACTAGCCTCGATGCAAGTTCAGGCGCAAATTCTGCAGTCACAGGCTCTTGTTCAAAATAAGAATATTCTTCAGCAGCCACCTATTCAAAACCATCAGCTTCACAGCAACCATCCTCAGAGCCTGCAGCAGCTGCAACAGCAACAAATTGTGGGTCAGAACCAACAACAGAACTTAATTCCATCCCAGCTGCCTGATCAAGTAAACCAACAGTTGCAAATGTCCGAGAATCAGATCCAGTATCAACTTTTGCAGAAGCTTCAGCAGCAACAGCAAGCACTTTTAGCCCAGCAGTCTACACTGCAACAGCCTCCTCAACTTACTCAAGTCCAAGATCAACAGAAACAGCTGTTAAATGTATCTCAGAGCTTTTCTAGGTATGCAACGCCTAGCCAAATGCTGGATATGCCTCAAGCAGCAGCAACTTCTCTTCCTCAGTCACACGATATCCCGCAGCAGATGACAAAGAATAATAGCCAAACAAATGTTCTGTTTTCCCATCCAACCCAGCAACCAAAGTTCCAGCCGCAGCAGCAACCTGGCATGTTGCCTGAATTTCCTGGGCAAGCGGGACACGCCCAATCTTCAACTACCAATCATCTCTCCAGAGCTGGGAGCAGTTTATTGACAGGAACTGGTTTGGGGCAGTCTGGTGTTACTGATGATGTTCCCTCTTGTTCCACTTCACCTTCCACAAACAATTGTCCAAATTCAATTCAACCCATCATGAACAGCAAGGTCCCCCGAAGCATAACCACGGGGGAGGAGACAACTAAGTCTGCTGTTACTCTTTTGAGTTCCAGTGGTTTAGAGACCATGCCTTCTAATGTTAACTTAGTTAAAGATTTGCAGCAAAAACCTGATATCAAGCCTTCAGTGAAAATTTCCGAGAATCAAAACCAATCATTTTTCATCCCACCAACATACCCCAATGCTGGTGTAGCCCAGATGGATTACTTGGAGACATCATCGTCGGCAACTTCAGTTTGTATTTCTCAGAATGATGTCCATTTACAGCAGAACAACAACCCATTGTCTTTTAATCCACAAGCAATGTTGTTTAGAGATACAAGTCAATTTGGGGAAGTTCAGGGTGATCCCAGGTACAATGTTCCATTTAGAGAGAACATTGAGAATCAATTGGATATGCCCATGATTCCTGACCCTTTGGATGCAAAGGGTATGGTGGGTTCAGGGAAAGATTTCTCAGATAATCTCTCTTCAGGAGGCGGCATGTTTGCCCACTATGAAAACGCCAAAGATACTCAACCAGAACTTTCATCGTCAATGGTTTCCCAGTCATTTGGAGTTCCAGATATAGCCTTCAATTCAATTGATTCCACAATAAACGATGGTAGCTTCTTGAATAGGGGTGCCTGGGCTCCACCACCACAGCTTCAGCGGCTGCGGACGTATACGAAGGTTTGTTGTTGAAAACATTGCAGCAATTGAAACTATAGTATTTATTCCCTTCTTTTTAGCCTCATTTTCTGATTTGGGAAGTTTGTTTGTGAAGGTGTACAAGCGTGGAGCTGTAGGGAGATCAATTGATATTGCTCGTTATTCAGGATATGAGGACCTTAAACAAGATCTGGCTCGTATGTTTGGCGTAGAGGGCCAGCTGGAGGACCGACAAAGAATAGGCTGGAAACTTGTGTATGTGGATCATGAGAATGATGTGCTGTTAGTTGGGGATGACCCTTGGGAGTAAGTCCAAAAACTAAATTTACCTTAAATTTTTAGAATCTCACATCTTCCAATGCATTTTTAATAATTTGAACATGACAACAACAAATGACCTTGGTTCAAAATCAATTATATGTCTACTGGTCAAAAGCTGCCTGAGAAAACTGCATGTCAAAATCAGACCTTACTCCATGGAAAAAGGCTAAACAAAATACTTTTTAACATTTCTTAATTTACTATTCCTCTTTGAGAAGCTGAGTTGCTCGCATTCCCTTATTCCCATAAAGGTAATATGAAAGATCATACCTGAATAATCTTGAGTTGCTCTCATTCCCTTATTCTCATAAAGGTGAATGTATCTATAGAGACAGCATATGCTTCATTTTATCATGCATTGCCTTCTCCTAATCACATTTGGACTTGCATATTTCCATAAAATCAGTCTTACAAATTTCTGCCACCATGCTCAATTTTTTTACCTATAGCAATATTTCATTGGTTTTTTTAGTTCTGCATTATTAAATCTAAACTGATTTTCAGACCTCCAATTAATCAAAATAGATGGGCCATGTCAATTAACATGTTTGGTTTGGTCCTTCAATGCATTTCAGGGAGTTTGTTAATTGTGTTCGATGCATCAAGATCCTCTCACCTCAAGAAGTCCAACAAATGAGCTTGGATGGTGATTTTGGTAACAGTGTCCTTCCGAATCAAGCCTGCAGCAGTTCTGATGGTGGAAACATGTAGATTGGCGAACTGACCTTTTTAGCATTTTCTTCCAAGGTGGAAGCTTTACTAATATTAGTTTTACAATCCGTCGAACCTCCCGGCCTGTGATTTTCATGTTTAGTACTTGCAAGTGGGCCAAGCCAACTATACCTTGAATCGGGTATAAGAAGAAATTCCTTGGCAGTTAAAGTATAAACAGAGGTAAGAAGTGGAGGAAGCCAAGCAACTAAATGTTGAATCGGGTATAAGAAGCAATTCATTGCCAGTTAAAAGCTTGTGTCTTCGACTTGGACCTGGTTTGAATGTAGAAACAGAGGTAAGAAGTGGAGGAAACAGAAGCTTTTTCACTGGTTTAGAAAAGAAAATGGAGTTTTGTATTTAAGTTTAGAGAAGAACCCAGTCTGGCAATGGATTCAACTTTGTGATATGATGGACGTTGGACGATCAATTCTTTTTTATATTATATATTTTGAAAATCCTCCCACTTAGATGCATTGTAGAAAGTAAAGCTTGAAATTTGTACACTTCGTTTTAATTGTATAGATGTGTAGATTAATGAAATTGCTCAGAATGCTTTCCACAAAAATATAGTGTTGATAGATGGTGAGACTCTATTATGTTTGGTCGGTTTATTTATTTATTTGAGAGGTATAAGAGATACCAAATCATACCATTAAATTATAGCATATCATGTGGTATGTTTGGTTTACTAAATGCCTTTTTTGATATCCGCGTTAAACATCCAGCTATGCTTTCACCAGTAATTGGATCACATTGACTTAAGGAGACAATTTAAGGCTTCATTGATTATGTGGCTCATAGTTTTTAGTTTACCATTCGTATATATTCCACACACACAGGCACACACACACACAGTACCCCCATCTCCATCAAACAAAAATAAACCAAAAAGGTGCCCAAAATAGGTGAGCACAGCATCAGCATTAACGTCTTGTAAAGACTATAACCTGAATTAACCACATTATAACAAGAAAAGCTCTGCAAAACATAAACATTAATCCAAGTCCGGTACCAGAGCCGGCATCTATATTAAATGTAGTGATTTAATAAGAAAAACCATTTTGCTTGTGCTATGATGGACATTGGAAGGTCAATTCTTTTTTTTTTTTATTATCTATTTTGAAAATCCTCCCACTTAGATGCATTGTAGAAAGTAAAGCTTGAAATTTGTACACTGCGTTTTAATTGTATAGATGTGTAGATTAATGAAATTGCTCAGAATGCTTTCCACTAAAATATAGTGTTGATAGATGGTGAGACTTTATTATGTTTGGTCAGTTATTTATTTATTTATTTGAGAGGTATACGATATACCATTAAATATGGTATGTTTGGTTTACTAAATGCCTTTTTTGATATCTACATTAAACATTCAGCTATGCTTTCACTAGTAATTGGATCACATTGACTTAAGGAGACAATTTAAGGCTTCATTGACTATGTGTAATTGGATCACATTGACTTAAGGAGACAATTTAAGGCGTCATTGACTATGTGTAATTGGATCACATTGACTTAAGGAGACAATTTAAGGCTTCATTGACTATGTGGCTCATAGTTTTTATTCTACCATTCACACACACACACACACACACACAGTACCCCATCTCCATCAAACAAAAATAAACCAAAAAGGTGCCCAAAATAGGTGAGCACAACAACCACCATTAACGGCAATTAATAACAGTTAATTATGGTTATTTGTTTTGGCTTAAATGCTAGGATAGGCGGGACATGGGCCTGGCCCTTACTGTCCTAACTTGGGCCTGTTCTCCCCAAAGGGGCTGTTTGGCCAACTGGCCCATATCTGTAATTATTTCTTATATTTATAATACTACAGAACCTGAATTAACAACATTATAACAAGAAAATTCACTTTGGATATGACTTAGTGATTTATTCGTTGGACTTTGGAGCTTAGAAAGTCCAAAAGTCTGCGGTTTGAGTCCTGCTGGGTGTTCTTTGTAACTAGCCTCCGTTGCCCCTACAGTGACTTACCCGGCCCGGGTGGGGAGGTGTCCTTCCGGATCCTCGAGAATTAGTCGGGTTGTTGAGGGGCCGTAAGAGTTTGTGCTATCCTGGACACTTTGGGTTAACTTAAAAAAAAAAAAAAATGCGAAACAGAAACATGAATCCAAGTCTGATACCAGAGCCTGCATCTATATTAAATGTAGTGATTTAATAAGAAAAACCATTTTGGTTGTGTCTCGTACCAGAACTCTCTACACATGAAAATTCATACATATGTATGTCTGTATCTATTTGTATACTATAATTTTGGTCTATTGGCATAATAATACTCCTTACTTAATAAGGAATGAATCAATAGAGAGATTGTGAGACTTTGCAGTGTACATAAAGATTCAACCAAGCCTGGTACCAGAGTCTATATCTATAGACTGCAGTTAATGTCTTTCGACTCTTCTCACATGGAATTGACTACAAGACATAGGAGATCGAAAATAGTCTGCAAAAGAGAATCTCAAATACATATTCTAACGTCATCTTTCGATTCTCTGAGTCCATATCTTTTCTATTGGAGACAATCAAGGCAGACCAGCAAAATCAAATCTGGAAAGCTTGATTACAGCAATTGTAACGTGTATGTTAGTTTGGTTAGCTGTCAATATTTGTCAAATATTACTTGTATAAAACATCTATATATACCGAATGAATCTGTTGGTTTCCAGTAGTAAGGGAATTACCAATCAAACAATTTCTCATTCTTTTCATTCCTTTTATTTCTTGCCATATTCAGTTTTTACATTCCTTTTATTGCCTGCCATATTCAGTTTTTACATGGTATCAGAGAGGTGAAAGATCCGTTTCTCATGGCAGATACTGAAGCTCCTAACTCCAACGAACAAGGCCTGGACAACGATCTTCATGATCCCTTCTTTGTTCATCACTCTGATAATCCTACAACAGTTTTTGTCTCTCCACTTCTCACGGAAGACAACTTCACCACATGGCTTTGCGCTATGAGGATGGCGCTCCGCGCAAAGAATAAGTTTGGGTTTGTTGATGGTACCCTCAAACCACCAACCGATGTCAAAGAGCTGCAACAATGGCAGAGATACAACGATCTAGTGAGTTCATGGATCCTCAATTCGACAGATAGCGAAAGTCGGGCAAGCGAAAGTCGGGCAAGCGTACTCTATGCCGAGAGCCAGGGAAATATGGCTTGATCTTAGCGATCGCTTTACTCAAACAAATGCACCGAAAATTTATCAACTCAAGCAATCGATTGCATCTCTAAAACAAGAAGAAAATTCTGTTTCTGCTTACTTCACAAAGATGAAAGCATTATGGGATGAGTTGAACTCACTCACGGTGGTGAAACCCTGCACTTGTGGACATAGAAAGGGAATTGCAACTCAACAACAAGACCGTGCGATGGAATTTCTCCAGGGGCTTCATGATCGATATTCGGCTCTCCGCAGCCAAGTCTTGCTGATGGATCCATTCCCAGACGCCACAAAAATCTATGCTTTAGTTCGAAAAGAAGAAAAACAGCAAGAAATCCACTCTTTGTCCCCCTCTGTCAATGCACCAGAAGCTACTGCACTTTCTGTCAACCAAGCGCCCATTAATACTGTTGATATTTCTCCCAAAAATCAGGCCAATGCAAGTGCACACTCATCCAACTGGTCGAACAACAGCCAACGAAATAATGTAAGGGACAATCGTCGCAATGGAAAATCAAATTTGCACAGTGATTATTGTGGCTACAACAGTCACACCAGAGATGTATGCTATAAGCTTCATGGTTTTCCTGCTGATAGATCACGGAACCATCCTCGAAACCAGGAATTTTTCAAGGCCATCTCCTTCAAGACCTCACCAATCTGATGAACAGGCACTGGTCTCTCCGCCACTCTTCACACAGGAGCAATACCACGAAATTCTTGCCATGCTTTCTTCAGGTAGCATTAATCCCCAAGCAAACTCAGCAGGTATAGCACTCGCCGCATTAAACTCTGCTTGGATTATTGACACTGGAGCCTCCAATCACATGCGCTCCTCTTTGGCATCTTTCTCATCATATTCACTTTGCTCCACTCATGTTCAATTACCCGATGGTTCACATGCACAAGTCACCCATATTGGAACTGTAAAATTTTCTCCAGCCTTCCAACTTGAGCATGTTTTCCATATACCTTTATTTCAGTTTAATCTTTTATTTGTCAGTTAGCTCACAAAAACTCACCCATATTCAGTAACATTTTTCCATGATCGATGTGTTTTCTAGGACCTGTCTGAGAAGAAGATGATTGGACTGGGTAGTGCACATGGCGGCTTCTACTATCTTCAGACCCCTTCTGCACATCTCATCATCGGTACACCCTGTTGGGAAACGTGCTAGTTTTAAAAACTTTTCGAGTGATTTTAAAACATAGATCTTGATTCATCACATAGAGACAAGTTTTATGCAAAAATAAAACATGATGTATCATTCAATTAAAAGATTGAATACTTACATCAAGGTTTGAGTAAACCTTAGATCTCTCTTCTAAAGTGAATATTCTCACTTATTGTAGATCCCTTTTGCTAGACACCTTTTCCATAGATCTCCATCTTCTTGGTAATGGTCTTGCCTTTAGGAATCACTCATAAGCCTCCATGAATGACCTTGGAAAACTAGGCTTGTGGGAGCCTCCATTAGATGAGAACACTAACCTTAATTTTCTAAAGAGAGAAAATTTATTCCTTTTTCCTTCTTATAAAAATCACCCCTAAAATATACATAGACCATGTATATATATAGGCAACATAAAGATAAGGAAAAGGAAACTATAAATCCTTCTCAATCTCTAATTCACATATCTCAAATCTAATATGATTCCAATATCAAGTTGGGCTATGAGTGAGAATCCTTTGGGCTTATTATTTTTATTGGCTATAATGAATTAATAATTAGCCCGGTCCATGGACCCAATTAAATTAATTCATAAATTAATTTATACTCCACTAAAAGAAATTAATTGAACTCCAATTAAATAATAAATAATCTGTAAGTCAATGTTGCACTTTGACCCCTCTATGCATAATTAGTTATCGGATAAATAATGCCATCAATCCGACTACTTAATTAATATATTTATTTTGGTACCTTTGATTATTTCTGGCTTGATCACAATAAAACATTTGTTTGACAAAAAATAATAATTTAAATAAATAAATATATAATAAATCATTTTGTCTAAAAACATACAAAGACCTTCGAATTTACTTTGTGATCAACCATAATCAATACAAAATAAATACAAGTACCAATGATGCAAATATTGAAAATATAACGCTCTAACTATTAATTACATAACTACCCAAAGTGTCAGTCTAAGGATCCTGAAAAATCCGCCGAACAAATCAAAGTAATTATTAATTAACAAAAAAGTCTATACTTTTTTCATACTTAAGAGTCAAATGCCATGACGGTAATAGGGAGCAATTGCATACGACGGCTCTCGCAATATATCTCAACCTAAAGCGGATTCAGTCAAAGTCTTAATTAATTATGATTCCATCCATAATTACCGACTATGAACAATTTATGATTACTATTTATATTAATGTATTGATCGCCATCTCATACATATATAAATATTTCTTGTAATCAAGAGGACACTATCAATTCTATAATGAATCGAATCACAATACAATTATATAAATTATAAATATTTCAGATATGTCAGGAATATATGTCACTTTAATCCAAATAGGAATTTGCTATGCCAGGGCATATAAATCCCAACAGCTCCCACTTGCCCTCATAGCTAATTCAAATTGCATCTAACTCCAATATTATCCAGGTGTTGATCAAAACTATTGATCGATGACACCTTTGTAAATGGATCAACAAAGTTGTGCTCCAATGCAATGTCATAGCCATGAGTACATATTCTTGCCGAACAATATCATGTAGGACATGATACTTTCCTCTCAGTGTACCTTGTTCCTTTATGGAACCTTGGGTCATTGGTTTCGATTACTTCTGCATTATTGTCACAACATAGCTCAATAGGCAGGTTAGTATACTCCACAACCTCTAAATCAGTGAGATCAAACCAATAGGCTTCCTTTGCCGCCTTTAAGGCTGCAATATATTCCACCTGCAGGTTTGAGTCAGCAGTTGAAATCTGCTTAACAATCTACCAACTGATTTCCCTTCCATTAAGTGAACATACACTAAGTTATGAACCTCATAGTATCTACTTCTGATTGAAAATCAGAACTAGCATACCTGACTAGGACCATATCATCACATTCATAAATGAATATGATATCCTTGGTCCTCTTTAGGTACTTAATGATATTTTTCACAACAGACTAGTTATCAAGTCCAGAATTGGATTGATATCTTTTAACTATCCTTACTATGTAGCGGATGTCCTATTTGGTATAGACCATGGCATATATGAGACTTCCATATGCCAAAGCATATAGTTCCAGTCTCATTTGCTCAATCTCCTCTGCTAGTCTTGGAAAAACTACTTACTAGAGAGAGCAATCCATATCAATAAAGCAAGAACTCATTCTTTGAGTTATGCATACCAAACCTGGTCAAAACTTTATCAATGTAGGGTTATTAAGATAAGTCTATTTTCCTTTTAACCTGATCTTGCAAAAGCTTGATCCTCGGAATATAGCTTACATCTTGAAGATCCTTCATTTCAAAGTAATTGAACAACTACCTATTTATTGATGACAAAATTTCCACATCATCCTAAATGAGTAGGATGTCATCAATATATATAGAATCAGAAAAATAATGACATTCCCTTGTACACTCATGATTTATTCACTAAGAAATCTTTTGGTGTCTTTTTATAGATTAACTTGCCTTCCATAGGTATCACCCTACTAGAAAGTTCTACAAGATTCCAGAATTTATTAGAATACATAGATTCTAACTCTGATTTCATAGTAACTCGCCAAAACGATCTGTATCCATATCGGTTCACGCTTCCTTGTAGCTTACTGGGTCCAACTCATGTTTAACAGGGATGTCCATAATGGTCTCACCTAAAAACATGATTCTGTCGGATTGGATAATTATCCTCCCACTACATCAATGTACCGATGAAGGAATCTGTGTACTAGATGATGCTGACGCATCAATAGGGAATTCATCTATAATTCTAAATCTCTATACTAAGTGTATTCATATGTGGTACATCTGGTACTCTTACCATATTCTCTAACACTATGCTACTAGGTATGTGATTTATAATATGATTCTCCTATAAATAAACAGTGAGTGAAAACAATCAACTTTTATCTTTGAGATCATAAAATAATCCATCATAGTGACTTTAGAGTAGCTATCAAATCTAGCATGCCTATGATCTGCTTCCAACTTACTTGTCCATATCAAGCGCACACGTGCAAGACTACCCCATATGTGCATGTGATTCAAACTAATATTTAGTCAAAAAACACAGCTCAATGGTATCCTTGAGACAGACTAAGATGGAATGCAGTTCATAATACGCATCGACATCATTAACGTTAAACTCTTAAATGAAAGAGATAATGTAGCATAACTGTTCATAGATCTAACCATGTTAAGCAGAAATTCTGTTTTTCCTATTTGACACCTCAACCCATTGAGCATCAATTGCGGAAAACTGGTACACAATACCCTCATTGACTATATAGTCTTTGCACTATCCCAAGAAATACTCATATCCACGATCAGATCAAAGTGTTTTGATAAGTTTACCTAATCTGTGCTCCACGTAAGTCTTGACACTTTCGGAATATACCAAAAATTTAAGACTTGTGTCGCATCAGATAAATTTATCCAAAACGTGAGTAATCTTGCTTGGATGTTCATAAGTGTGATACCCCTCGGATCCGAGACACGGGTTCATCAGGCCCAGGCCCAAACCCGAGGGAGTATCAAACAATTAATATTTTATAGCGAACACAGAATACAAAATGAATTAAGAAATGAAAGTTTAAAGCTGAAAAGAAACTAAAAGATAATCCTTAAATAATTAAATACTTAAATTTGATAAACCAAATATCCATAATTTGAACAACTCGGGAATCCATCTCTAGTGGACCCCTAATAAAAGTCTCACACTAAATGAAAGTAAAATAAAAGATAAAACCCAAATCCAAGATCTGGAAAGAAACCCTACATCTTCGGTAGAATGGAAGATCGTCTCTGCTCTGCACGAACAAGCTCAAGCCTGGAACTGACGTACACCTGAAAAATAGGAGTGGGTCAGGCCCACGAACAAGTTCTAACCTACTACAATCCAAGCAGAGACTCGATACACATGTACATACTAAATAGTTCAACAATAACTAATAATCCGTACATAAATATATCCACACTACTGGACTCTCGCTAGGCCATGAAGGGGGTCTCAACCTGGATAGAAGGCATCACACAATACGCACCTGAGTGGGTATGAGTACCTAAACCTAAACAGGGTATACCTCAACCTTCACAGTCAGCTACACATCCAACTGCATATACGCACCCTAACCGTCGACCCTGAGACTCAAGCTCATGACACGGTAACATAAAAATATATCTAAACTCCGTTTCTATCCATCCACCAGAAATCCAGTAAGTCACTCGGCGTAGTCAACCGTACCGACTTATATATATAAGGAGGATTGTAGTTTATAACCCGTGCCCTTACTCCAAAATAGGTAGGACTTAGCAATGTGAGCTAATCCAACCCAGTATGTCACCGTCCCATACCGGTACATACAATCCAATCCGTCCAATAGTTGATAAAGCATCGATAATTATAACAACAATATCAACAATTCCATACTAAACATAATAGAATGCATTAGCAACCATTCTTAAAAATACCAATAATTGATTCACATTGAAAATATAAATATCAATGTCAACTACTCCTTACTATGCATATTAAAGTAGATAATCAACATGCTTATTTACATGCACAGTTGACAAAATAATGACCATATAAATGTCAATACCAACAGTCCAAACTAAACATGTTAGAACAGATTAACAAACATGCTTAAGTAAGCCAATTCAGAACCCATAATTTGATCATACAGGGCTTTCTTTATAATGATAACCTATTCCCAGTTTCCATAGAATTAACAGAGCCTAAATAGATATTTTCCCACTCACATCCATAGCATGCAGAATAAATATAAGTAATCTATTATACTTATAGTTTCCTGTCCAACAACTTGCCGCACCAACCGTTAAATTTAATTATCAACTAATTATCAGTGAAATATAAATTTTTAGCATAGTTTCTATTGTCATGAACATATAATTCGAGTGGACAAGCTCTCACAGAAAATTTCTAATATAATTAAGAAATTAGAAACTCCAAATCTACACAGTCTACCAGACCT